AAGAAGAAGAAGAAGAAGAAGAAGAAGAAGAAGAAGAAGAAGAAGAAGAAGAAGAAGAAGAAGAAGAAGAAGAAGAAGAAGAAGAAGAAGAAGAAGAACTTCTTATTAGATGAGAAGTGAAAGGAAAAAAACCTAGGAAGTCCAATTGACTTCTAGAAAAACACCTTTGGGATCTCCAGGGCACCTTTTTATATATACCTGAAGACTGATAGGTCCTCCCATTATTGATTTCTTCAGACCAAGCATCTCAACTTCCTCCAACGTTCTTTGTGAAAATGGATAATAACACATTCATTGGGGGATAGTTTTGCTTACCTGTTAAAGAATGCATTCTCTAGACCCCAAAGCCCTAACCTTTAATAATCGTAGCTTTTTCTCTCCCTTTTCTCTTCTCCTAGAGCTCCACCAATAATTGGCTACTTGCCCTTTGAGGTTCTTGGGACATCTGGTTATGACTACTATCACGCGGATGATTTGGAACTTCTTGCTAGGTGCCATGAACACCGTAAGTCTCTCCGTTCCTTGTTCCCAAGACTCACCTGGGCCATAACAGCAAGGGAGGGTTTACCTTAACCATGATTTTGTGGCACAAACTAGAATCTTCTCACAGGTGAGTAGATCATAATTTGCCTAGCCAATAGCTGATATAATATCTCTTTTAATTCTCTTTATCCCACCTTCCTCTCCAATTACACAATGATTTGACTGCTCCCTTAATTATCTCTTCTTGGAGTTCCCAGTGGCATGTCTCTAATAACCCTTGGATGGACATCCGGAGAACACGACAATGCCAGGAAAAAGAATGCAAACCAGTGTGTGCCAAGCAGGGTTTAATAGAAGCTTTTTGTTGTCGTTGTTGTTAATACACAGTGATGCAATTTGGCAAAGGCAAGTCCTGCTACTACAGATTCTTGACCAAAGGCCAGCAGTGGATATGGTTACAGACCCATTATTACATCACCTACCACCAGTGGAACTCCAAACCTGAGTTCATTGTGTGCACTCACACGGTTGTTAGGTAAGCACCCAAACTGTGTGTTTGTCCCTACCAAGCCCATGCTTCCAACGCGTGTCATAGAGTGTAAATTGGGCTATGCAGGAGGGAAAACAGCTTTATATTTTTTCTGTTGGAGGTAACAGACATCTGAAAGCAGTATTCAGATAGTCCTTGGTTTACCGGAGACTGGAGAAATCCACATTAAGGCATCTGGTTGTTGAGTGAAACATGCTGGCTGGGGAATAACGGGAGCTGGAGGCCACATTTCTTAGTGGCCAAAGTTGAGAAACACTGATCTAAAATATGGTGCATGCGGTCAAGTCAGACCGAGACCAGATGTTATAAAGTTTATTTCTACTAACCAGAGGAGAAGAGAGAGAGGGAGAAAGAAAGAGAAGGAAAAGAAAGGAAGAAGAAAGGAAGAAAGAAAGAAAGAAAAATAAAGAAAATAAGAAATTGAAAGATAAAGGGAGAGAGAAAAAGAGAGAAAGAAAAGAGGGAGAAAGAAAGAGAAAAAGAAAGAAAGAAGGGGAGAGAGAAAGAGAGAGAGAAAGATAGGGAGAGAGAAAAAGAAAAAGAAAGGGAGAGAAAAAGAGAAAGAAAGAAAAAAGAATGAAAGAACAGTAGAGAGAAAAAGAGAAAGAAATAAAAAAGAGGAAAGAGAAAGAAAGAAAGAAAGAAAGAAAGAAAGAAAGAAAGAAAAAACGAAAGAAAGAAAGAGAAAGAGAGAAAGAAAGAAAGGATCTATATCTTATATCTTCTATACCTTTTCATAATTTTTCATTTTTACTCTGATGTATCCTTTATGTTTTTAATGACTGTCCCCAACCCTCCTTATGCTGGTCTAGGACCATAATAAATGTTTGATTTATTGGTCGCTTGATGCATTTATTCTGCCTGGGTAACTCTTTCATCCTTACCCCCCTTTTTTAAAGCTATGCTGAGGTTCGAGCGGAAAGGAGGAGGGACGTTGGCCTGGAGGAATCTTCCATTGAACTGGCCTCTTCATCCTTAAAGGTATCGTATATTCCAAGGAAATCCAGTAAGAGGCTTTGGGCTGTTCAAAGGATTTGCGAGAATAGGAAATGGATGTTTTGGAAGAAGAACGGAATGTGACATTTTCTTTCGGGTTTCTTTGCATTGGTTTCAACCTTCAAATATATCAATGTTGCGGAAATGCACATTTCTTTGGTCCCATAAAGCTTTCTTCTGCCAACTTCTTTTCTGAGGACGCCAAATGGGTAGATGTTCTGGACTGATCCTGCCAGATCTAGTTGCCTCACCTTTCAGATATTACAATACCGCTCATCCCCAGTCAAAAACATGACCAATGGGAATTGCAAGTGACCGGCTGGAAAAAAATTGGCTTTATATTGGATGAGTAAAGGTCTGCCCCACATAGGCCTCTGGATTGGCGTTTTGCAACCTTGGCAATTTTTAAGATAGGTAGAATTCTTCAGCCAACACAGCGAGGGATTCTGGGAGTTGAAGTCCAGCTATCTTAAAGGTGGTGTCATTGAGAAATGCTGTTCCAGATGTGTGATGACCATTAGGAAGGATGCAGGAAATGAAGTATTATTATTATTATTATTGTTCCACACAAAAATGACAGTGCACACAGCAAACAAGATAACTATGCTGGGTTTTGTATCACGAATCACTAGTCGAATACTTCCCAAGCATTTAGGATTATTATTATTATTATTATTATTATTATTGTTGTTGTTGTTGCTGTTATTGTTATTTTTGTTATTATTATCATCATCATCATCATCATCATCATTATTTAATATCATTTTTAGCATCCTTTGGATGTGAAGTTCTAGGAGGGATTCTTGGTGTTCCCTGAGCTCAGTTGTTGTGTTGAAGACGCTTCATTACTGAAACTAGGTAACATCATCAATGGTACAGCATCAGTTACCTTGTTTAAGGAAACATCTGCAAGAAAACAACCAAGCTCAGAGAGCATCAAGGGTTAATCCCATAGTTCTCCTCCTCCTCCTCCTCTCCACAAATCCCATTCTCTTCTAGCACTGATCATGTAACCTAGTTGGGTAGTGAAACGTCTGCAAAAAAAAAACAACCAAGCTCGGAGAGCACCAAGGACCCCATAGTCATTGTCCTCCTCCTCCTCCTCCTCCTCCTCCTCCTCCTCCTCCTCCTCCTCTTCCTCCTCCTCCTCCTCCTCTTCTTCCTCCTCCCCTCCACAAATCCCGCTCTCTTCTAGCACTGATCATGCAACCTAGTTGGGTAGTGAAATGCCAGCAAGAAAACAACCAAGGACCCCCCGAGCTACAAACAATTCTCCTTTATTGGACTTCTAGGAGTCAAGCCAAGAACTTCAGATTTCTACAGCTTGTCATCTTTCCAAATATGCTGAGCTGTTGAACTCCTATATCTTATTAAGCAATTTTCCTATCGCTGAGTCACGCCTAGCATAGCCTGTGTGCATAACCTGTGTGCTGATTCACCGACTGCGCACAATGCAAAGATGGAAAATAAAGGCCCACACGATGGATCTGTTAGCTGGGGTTCCCCCCCCTTTCTGAAAACAGGGTTAGGCTCCTGAGCTTTGGCAGATCATCTCCCTAATCGCATTTTTCATTGCCTTTTAAAATAATCAATTTGGCCTCATTGTGCTGGCTGAATTTAATTGGGTCAACTTAGTCAATGCCAGGGTTTCAATAACAAGAGGCCAACGTCACTCCGAAGGAGCTTTCTTTAATTGATCTCTAAACCTTGGGCATGAAATCCAAGTGGCCTATTTTCCCTGCCCGGGTGAAGAAAATTTAAAGGAAGCCATCACATGAGTGAAGAGCTTTCTGGAGCGCAGGCGTCTCTCTCCCCCTCTCCCTCTCCCTCCCTCCCTCTCTCTCTCTCTCTCTCTCTCTCCCTCTCTCTATCTCCCTCCCTCATCTCTATCTTCTATCTTGTCCATTTTCTAACTTCTGTCTATCTTGTCTATCTTCAATTTTCCATTTTTCCATCTTCTATCTTGTCTATTTTCTATCTTCTATCCATCTTTTTCTTGCCTATTTTCTAGCTTCTATCTTGTCTATTTTCCGTCTTCTGTATCTATTTTCTATCTTCTGTCTGTCTGTCTGTCTGTTAGCTACCTATCCACAAAGCTCTTTTTAAAAAAATCATGTGATGGAGGAAAGTCAAGGACCCCCGAAGGGCTGTTTCCTGCCTTCTAAGAGCCAATGTGCTGAAGTGGTTAATTTGTTGGACTATCTCACTGGAGTAGTTGTTGTTATGGGGAGAAAATGAAAGGGGATGCCCAGATAAGCCTATCTATCTATCTATCTATCTATCTATCTATCTATCTATCTATCTAT